CCCAGGTTGAGGCTCCGTTGGCCGGGAGCGGCCACTGCACTCCAGTCTGGGTGACAGAGTGAGACTCCAACTCAAAAAAAAAAAAAAAATTTTATTTTGTATTCGGGGTCTCACTCCATCACCCAGGATGGCACGATCATGGCTCACCACAGCCTCGACCTCCCAGGCTCAGGTAATCCTCCTGCCTCAGCCTCCTGAGTAGCTGGGACCCCACAGGCACCTGCCACCATACTCAGCTAATTTTTAAAATTTGTCTCACTATATTGCTCCCCGGCTAGTCTTGAACTCCTGGACTCAAGTGATTCTTCCACCTCAGCCTCCCAAAATGCTGGGATGGATGACAGGTGTAAGCCACTGTGCCTGGCCAATCCTGGGTTTTTTGTTTTTTGAGTTGGAATTTCACTCTGTCGCCCAAGCTGTAGTGCAACAGCACACTCACGGCCACCGTAGCCTCCACCTGCTGATACTTCTCAGGTGATACTTCTCAGGTGATACTTCTGCCTCAGCTTTCCAAGTAGCTGGAAGTACAGGCACACACCACCACACCTGGCTAATTTTTTAAAAAATTTATTGTCGAGATGAGGTCTCACCAAGTTGCCCAGGCTAGTTTTGAACCCGTGGGCTCAGGAAATCCTCTTACCTCGGCCTTTCTTTTTTCTTTTTGAGTCGGATTCTCACTCCCTCGGCCAGGCTGGAATGCAGTAGCACGCTCATGGCCACCACAGCCTTGACCTGCTGGGTTCCGGCGATCCTTCCGTCTCAGCCTTCCAAATAGCCGGAACTACAGGTGCACGCTACCACACCCAGCTAATTTTTGATTTATTATAGGGACGAGGTCTCCCGGCCTGGTCTCGAACCTGTGGGCTCAGGCAATCCACTTGCCTCAGCCTCCCAAAGTGCGGGGATCACAGGCTGAGCCACTGAGCCCGGCCTATCATTTTTAATGTTCATCTATGTATCTGGGTTGGGGTTCTACAATGAGACGATGCATTGTGCTCATCGTCTAGATTTTAAAACACCCCACAGTTTGGTTGCCAAAAATATGTAAATGAAACAGGAGGGAAAAAAATCAAACCAAAGTTGACAGGCAAGATGGTCTCCAGGCATGACTGAGTGCCTTCAGGGGTGGGGACAAGGTCACCCTTGGTTGAGAACAAGTTAGGTGCCTTCCACTCCATTCTCTGTTTTTTTCTTTTTTCCCAGTTCTGTCTGATCTGATGGCATCTTCTGGACACACAGTCATGTTAGATTGGATGCTGCGTGTCTCCCAAGTGCCCTTGTCTTGTCAGACTCTGATAGGGACATGAGATTGAGGCTGGGCACCGTGGCTCATGCCTGTCATCCCAACACTTTGGGAGGCCGAAGTGGGAGGATGACTTGAGCCCAGGAGTTCGAGACCAGCCTGGGCAACATAGCGAGACCCTGTCTCTACAAAAATAGAAATAAAAATAAAATTGGCTGGGTGTGGTGGCATGCCCCAGCCATCCCAGTGACTCAGGAGCCTGAGGTGGGAGGATCGCCTGAATCCAGGAGGTCGAGGCTGTGGTGAGCCATGATCTTGCCACTGCACTTCAGCCTTGGTGACAGAGACCCTGACTCAAAAAACAAACAAAAAATTAAAAGGATATGCAAACAGTTCAAACTTCAGTCTAGTTGGAGGGGGTGGGGAGAGAAGGGGGAAATGTGTCCCTTTCTTGGAGGAAGTCAAATGCTGGTGTGATAAGCAGCTTGGGTTCCTCCCCCTCCCCATCTGTCTCTGCAGCTGGGTGCTGTCCTGTGTGTGCTGGGCCGGGCAGGGCACCCTCAGCACCATGCCCTCCATCCTCACCCACCTGGTCTGCCTCGGTGAGTCCCGGAAGAGATGGAGGGAGGGTGGGAGAGAGACCCCTCACCCCTGTACCAGGAGGCCAGGCTCCTCCATGGCTGTGGGCCCTGGTCCCAGGTGGCCCAGAGGCAGGTGCCTCCTGGCCAGTGGTGACCTGTGTCCCGAGGGCGCCAATAACCCTTCATGGGCTCTGGTCGCCCTTACCTCCAGATCTGTGGTGCTAAGTCTAGGCCTGTGAGGACAGCATTTTGTTCTCTTTTCCAGGACTGCTTTTGAGCCCAGGGAGCGAGACACCAGCTGGTGAGTCCCCCTCACCCCCTCCGGTGCCTCCTTCCTCCAGGGAAGCACTGACCCTGGCAGAGAGATGGCAACTGGAAGGTCCCTAAAATATGAAAGGGGACCCTCTAAAAATCCAAAATTGTCTTTTGGAGGATGGGGCCCTTGTAGCACAGGCTTCCCTAGTAGGTAAGTGTTCTAGGAGCCCATCAACATCTGTGGACCAGCGAGCGTTGTTGGGAGAGGCTGAGTCCAGCTTCAGGGGATTTTGGGGAGATTTTTCTTCCTTTTTTTTTTTTTTTTTTGAGTCGGAGTCTCACTCTGTCACTCAGGCTGGAGTGCAGTGGCACAATCATGGCCACCGCAGCCTCGACCTGCTGAGCTCAGGCAATCCTTCTGCCTCAGCCTTCCAAGTGACAGGATCCACAGGCACGAGCCACCACGCCAGGCTAATTTTTTAATTTATTGTAGAGATGAGGTCTCGCCATGTTGCCCAGGTTGGTCTCAAACCTGTGGGCTCAGGCAGTCCTCTCGCCTCTGCCTCCCAAAGTGCTAGGATGACAGGTGTGAGCCACCACACCCGGCTGAGATTTTTTTTCAATGCATTTGCCCATTTCATCATGGGTGATGGACCAGCACACCTGCCCACACCGCGCTGAGTGTTCAGCAGTTTTTGACCCCAGATGGCATGACCCCCGTGCTCCACCTTCCCTCTTCACCTGATCTTGCTCAGGGTGATGTTTTTTATTTTTTGTTTTCCGGATGAAAAAAGTTATCAAAGGGAAACACTTTGCCAATGTGGAAGAGGTGAAACAAAAAATGGCAGAAGCGCTAAAAGGCACCAAAATGGGCCAGGCTTGGTGGCTCAGCCTGTAATCCCGCACCTTGGGAGGCCGAGGTGAGTGGATTGCCTGAGCCCACGGGTTCGAGACCCCCCGGGCAACTTGGCGAGACCTCCTCTCTACAATAAATCAAAAAATTAGCCAGGCGTGGTGGTGCGCGCCTGTAATTCCAGCTACTCGGAAGGCTGAGGCGGAAGGATCGCCGGAGCCCAGCAGGTCAAGGCTGCTGCTCCCGGCCATTGCACTCCAGTCTGGGTGACAGAGTGAGACTCCGACTCAAAAAAAAAAGGCATCAAAATGAACAAAGTTCGGTAACTGTTTTGAGTAGTGGAAAGGTATCTCAATAGGTATTGCATCAAACAGAGAGAACTTTGGAGGTGACTGAAATTTAAACACAGAAAAATAAATACACAATTTTTGAGAAATAAATTCCAGGATTTTTTGGGTCCCCATTCGTAAGCCCATCCTTCACCACGGGGGCCCGTCCCTGCCCAAAAAGCTTCACTGTGTGGTTGCTTTTGACCAATCAGCCAGGCTTCCTCAGCCTCAGCACTGCTGACACTGGAACAGGGTGACTCTTTGGTGAGGGACCATCCTGGGCGCTGTCCTGGAGTGAGTAGCGTCCCTGGCTTGTGCCCACATGGGCGCCTGAAGTGCCCCTCCCTGAGTTTTGAAAACTACTAATTCCCTCTTGGTTTCTGTGGATTTATGTTACCTGGATGTTTGGGCGCGGTGGCTCACTCCTGTCATCCCAGCACTTTGGGAGGCTGAGGCGGGAGGATCATTTGAGCCCAGGAGTTCAAGAGCAGCCTGGGCAACATAGCCAGAACTAGTCTACTGTAGTTCCACCTACTTGTGAAGTAGGGTTCGAGCGATTAAATAACAGCCCACCAACTTAATTTTAACAAAGGAGAAGTTTATTAGTCAA